TATGTTCCTTCGAAAATTCTTTACAAACACACACCGTGAGATATCCAAAATTACACAACTTTGGATTACACTTTTTTTTTCATATCTTGTATGATTTCGTAAATATTCGCGATAATATAAAAACTTACAATTTTTCTTTTACGGGGTGTTTTCACACCTAGGACCGTTTCATTGTCGAAATAAAAAATGGTTTCGTCTATTAGCGTCAATTAAACTACATTTCTGGAAAGTTTGAATTGTTTTCGATTTTTAGGTTACCGAACTTCCCTTGTAAGTGTATACTGTACTTCAAGTCTTGTTCATCGACATATTTAAGTAAACAAAATATTAATCCTTCTCTTCACACAGTGATTAAAATATTTATCAACACTTTACACTCGAAGTACTCTTCCAAGCACAGACAATGTTTAACGTATCTTACAATGGAAGTTCGGTAACCCGAAAATTCCGATTTGTTTGAAACTTTGCAGGTTTGCAGGGGCCTCAAGAGAAGTATCGTGCAATTTTTTTTTGGCCTTTTTTCGGTTCTTCGAGGTGAAAACAGCCCTAAAATGAAGATAAGTGTTACCTTGTTCCTCTGTATATCTTTAAAACTATAGTAGATATAAAAAGATGTTTAGAATAAAAATTTAATGGCTTTTTATGCCTTATAAGGACCAAAAAAAAATTGCCCGATACTTCTCTCAAGGTCCTATAGAAACCTGCAAAGTTTGAAAAAAATTGAAATTTTTGGGTTACCAAAGCTCTCTTGTTAGTTATAATTTCAACCTTTTGAATCTCACTTATAATTTTTGCTTTGACAAATAAACAATTTATTGCATATGCGTAACAAGCCGCAAAAGGTCCGAGTTGCTGCAAGATTTACCCGAGAAAAAGTTCGAGTACAAAGGGTTAAAAGCAAAATGGCAGCTCGAAATTATTGAGAAAATACTTACTTGATTAGGTGTTGCTGTGTAACGACGTATGGAAGAGCTACGACTTCCGATGGAATTATTAGGGCTGAGGCTACAATTATTGCTTGTTAGGACGGTCGTTCGATTATTCGGCGTGTCACATTGCGTGTCGTTTCTTATCGAACCATGTAAGTATCCACCGTTGAAGCTGAAAGGTATTTTGCAAAAGTTACCACTGCAAAAAGGGGAAACTATAGCTTACACATGATCGTGTGTATTCGTTCTCATAAACGATCCTTGCAGTTGTATCAGTGTTTGAGAAATGATATAAAAAGATTTATCTTTCCCGTACCTAGCTTTTAAATAGTTCTCCCGCGAACAAATGAAAAAGAGGAAATTAACGTTTAACAGACATCACGCTTGATTATGTGTGAATATACAATAAAAGATTTTTAATCGAATCACCGAAATCAGTTTAGAATCGAACGATTATTGAATAATTTAAAAAAAGTCAACGTAGAAAAGAAACATTTTTTTTGTATGATAAATTTGACTATAGCCTATAATAACTGATTTTCACTAACTTGCGTTTTCGATACTAAGTGAGATTGCTATACTTCGTAATTGTATGAAATAGCTTATAGATGGAAATAAAAAAAAAAATTTAACGGTTATAATATAACTGTAAAATAGAAAAAATATGAATTGAAATACAGATTAAAAATAAATATTTCTTCTGTTGTACCTTCTGCTGACTACATATCAATTAAAGAAAAAAGTCCATTTTTGTCGAATCGTGCAAATATTGAAATTCCTAACAAAACCAGTATAAACTCCAAAAATCAACAATGTCAAATTATGAAAACTCTCGAAAACTTTTATCTTCAATTTAAATTTACGTTGAATTGAAACCAAGTAGAGTGCTTCGACCATTGTTTAACACAGTGGCTCTGCCTAGTGATTCATCATCTGTCTGAGACCAGCGTTTTCTCCTCAGAGATGGTCGCGATAATTTCCACGAGTAACCTCTTTGTATTCTTGGTGGACTGAAACAAAAAAAAAAAAATAGATCCTCACATCCAACAAAAAAAAAAAAAAAATAGATCCTCACATCCAACAAAAAAAAAAAAAAAATAGATCCTCACATCCAACAAAAAAAAAAAAAAAATAGATCCTCACATCCAACAAAAAAAAAAAAAAAATAGATCCTCACATCCAACAAAAAAAAAAAAAAAATAGATCCTCACATCCAACAAAAAAAAAAAAAAAATAGATCCTCACATCCAACAAAAAAAAAAAAAAAATAGATCCTCACATCCAACAAAAAAAAAAAAAAAATAGATCCTCACATCCAACAAAAAAAAAAAAAAAATAGATCCTCACATCCAACAAAAAAAAAAAATAAAAAAAATCACATCTATTTTTATGTTTAACATAATTTGTTATAAATTCTCTTTCTACCAGAAAGATATTATAAATATGACATTGATACCTCGAATTAGACGATTCTCTCGCTGAGGGACTAACAACAGCAGCGACAAGGCTGATTCGTCGTGGAAATTGTCCGGCAATGAGGTTTTTAGTTGGTATTTTGTTCGAAACATCTGGTAATTTCAACAGGCCAGAAGGGATACTAGACTGGCTCTGTAAAAGAATGGTAATCGTAATTTTTGTAAGAAAAAAATAATCTATTGTAAAATACAGGTAGTTCTGACTTTACGAATTTTTTGGGTCGGAA